AATATCTGATCCGTGGTCCATCGGGCCAACAGAAAAAAAAAACAAAACAAAAACCTGGGGCTAGGCCGTCGTCTTTTTTTTTTTTCTTTATTAAGGAAACGAAAGAAAGAAATGAAGGACTGACCAACGGACCTAACTTCAGTTGGTACACCCATGAACTGCTGAAATACGGACCCCAATATGCAATCAGCAGATGAGCAGAACAAAATGGTCCAAATTAACTCGAGAAATGTTCCAAAAAAAAATAAAATAAAAATAAATTTCGAGAAAGGGTCCAAGTACAACTGGAGAAATGGTCCCACCCACTAGCACAGAGGATTAGATTAAGCACCTGAATGTGGATGTGTTTCTCGCAGAGATGCAGAAAAGCAGTTCAATCGCGACATTCTGCACCTCTCCACAAACAAGTGCAGATTCAGGCGTTCAATCCAATCCTCTTTGCTAATGGGACCTCACCCCTCGAGAAATGGTCCAAATGAACTCGATTTTTTTTTTTTTGGTCCAATTTAACGTGCAAAGCATGGCCCAAAATTAACTCGACAAATGGTCCAAAAGTAACTCAAGAAATGGTCCAAATTAACTCGAGAAATGGTCCAAATTAACGCGCAAGGATGACACGCATAACGCGCGAAAAATGGTCCCGAAAAAGGAAAAAAAAACAAGTCCGTCGCCCAAAAAAAAGAAAAAAAGAAGAGGAAGAATTCGGGTAAGCAGTGCAGTGGCTGTTCCTCGGGCCGTGGTCCAATTAGCAAGAGAGCATCGGATTGAATGCCTGAATCTGGACGTGTTCGAGGACAGGAGCAGGAAATCGAGATCGAACTGCTTTTCTGTATCTCTGCATACAACATGGCCAGATTCAGGATTTCTATCCGATCCTCTTTGCTAGTGGGACCACGCATGCCCCCGTTGAGCGGGGAGAAAAATTGCATTAAAAAAAAGAAGAAAAAAAAGCTCTGCATTATATTAATTACTAGCGACCTCTCGGTCCAGGGGCCAAGTCCCACTTGCAGCGTTGAGCTACCTTAACGCCTGAATCTGGACGCTTTTGCGGAGATATGCAGAAATGGGTCGAGTTTCCTGAACTGCACGTCTCCACAAACACGTCCAGATTCACGCGTTGAGGTAGCTCAACGCTGCTGGTGGGACTTGGCCCCAGGGCACCCCAAAGAAAAGAAATGAGAACGAAAAATCAAAAAAAAAAAAGAAAGGGCGCCGGGAGGGGGGGCACTGGGCGCCGTTAATAAAAGTGCAATTTCGGGAAAAAAAAACAGAAGAAGGAATGAAAAAGAAAGAAAAAGGAGAAGCGGGAAGGGGTGGGAAAACAGATAGAAAGGGGGGGAAAAAAACGTTTGCTTGTTATGGGTCATGCGATCTTTTTTATTTTCACCCCTTCCCTCTGTTCATTCCAAGATATTAGTTAAAAAAATAAAAATAAAAAAAATCCAAGGTGTTGGTAGATATTTCCTGTACGGGCAAACAAGCCAATAATAAATCAACAAACAATTTGAAGCAAACGAATTACAAATCGCAAAATAAATAAATAAGAAAACAAATAAACAAATAAACGAATAATTAAATAATCGAAGAAGCAAATAAAGAAATGAATGAATCAATAAATAAATGACTAAATGAATGAGACAATAAATAACTAAATAAATAAATAAATAAGAACGGGGATACCGATGAGGCCGATCAACATGAACGAACCATGCGCAGTTACGGAAAAGGAAATAATCCAAATTCGTATTGAGCAGAAAAACGCCTCAAATAATATTTTTACTGGAATTTTCTCGATTTTATTTCCCTTAACAGGCCTCAAAATTGTCATTTATTTACAAATCCTCATATACATGCTTCACGCGAGCGATCGCACTCTGCCCACCACAACGCACACACACACACACACACACACACACACACACACACACACACACACACACACACACACACACACACACACACACACACACACACACA